ATAGTACGAGCTAAGCCTGGTAACATCCCCCGGTCGGCGAACACACCTACACGAAAGATAAATCGCTCTCCCAAAAAACCCCCGTTTTATTTCCCGACCGTAACAGTAGTATCAGAATTGTTAAGATCATGACATTTTGTCACGGTTTTTGCATCATATAATGATAAGTTTATTGTCTTTTCAGATCTCGTTGAAACATCCTGATTAGCTAAAGATAGGTCTTGATCCTGAGAAGCGGAAGCTTTATTACTATGTAATAGCTTTTCTCCATATTCCTCTGCCTTACCCTTTTCTTATTTTCTGATTCTAAAAAGACATCAATTTCTTTATCTTCTAATGATTTAGATTTTCTAAAGTAAGGTTAGATGTATCGGAAATTGTGTTTACTACCCGTTCTGAAGTGTCTGAAGTTACTAAGTCAGTGCTAGTCATGGATTGATCTGCTTCGTGGCGAGTTGAAGAATCTTTAATCTGCGCATTTTCACCATTTGAACAACTTTTGTTAGATAATGGAGTGGAATATTCCAGAGATTTTAAATTATTAGTAACTGTTCGATTTTGCTTTTCAATATTCTTAACAGCTCGTTTTAATTTTGCAATTTCATTCTTGAGCTCGGCATTTTCTGTCTGGCTTAACTTTGTAGTCTGTTCTCAACTTATTTTTTTTCTTTCGCAATTTGTTCCAATTCTGCGATTCTAGCTACAAGTCTGGCATTCTCTTGTTTTAATAAGTCGATTTTGGATTGCATGTTTTAACGATAACTTTTATACAAATGCGAATTGTTCAAATGTTATTTATTATCATATATAAAAACCGTGACGATCGGAATCACACTGCAAAACGCAACATGTGATTTGCACACCGGTTATGAGATCAAAAATATGGTTTCATGCACCGAGATCAGATTTAACGACTTGCACCACACGAAGAAAATAAGTTTTTACATGTAAAGAAAGTTATTTTATTAAGTATATGTGTTCTCTATCTAATTAATTTTATTGAACATCATATAAAAGGAGTTCATCCATATCATCTTCTGTTACAGGTGTTAAATCTTCATCAGGTAAATTTATCCATTCTCGTAAATCACCTGTATCATCTTCAACTGAAGGAATAAAAGAACAAAGTTTTTTCTGAATCTTTTCTTGTTCTATGAATTTGTTTCTTATAACTGCAAAAAAAATTAAAGATTTTTGAATAACACGTGATGGCTTCAAAAGAAAAAGGAATTATACATGAAGCTAGTTCTAGGGCTAAATACTTTTTTTTTCAACAAATAAAGTTAATCGGTCCCCAATTGCTTGAATGCTGTAAGATTTGACTTTCTGTGCATCATCAATTGGGCAATCGAAATTGTTCGCCAGTATCCTACACAAGTTGCAAATGGCCATCATGAGTAATTTTTTGGCATCTCCGACTGTATGTTTCTTTTCAGGTTTGTAAGATGGCCCGGACACCTCAACATGTAAAATTTCCGTGGCATCCTATAATCTCAAAACCAGCAGATCGGTTTTACGGGCCCTCACGTTAATCGCGAACATATTGCTCGCGTCCTTTAATGTTTTAACATCCTTTTCGATCCACTCGTACTTTACGTCGGGGAATGCATTCCTGAAGGCTCGGTGTATGGGTGAAAGACATTCAACAATATATGATCTTTCGGACATATTCCGAACCAGAACCTTGGGTGACAGATACTTGAACATTGCAACAAAGTCTAGTAAGGTGTGCCTTATGAAAAAAAGAAATCTCGATTCTTCACTCGTTTCACTATCTTCAGCTTCTGTCTCTGTCATTATTTTTGAAATAATTTTCGAATAATCTGCCTGAAAAATTGCGTAAAGTTTTTCGGTTATTGGCCTCTTTAAAATTAATCTGTTTCTCATCTTGAGAAGTTTTTCGATTTTTTTATATAAAGTACTTTCTGTCGTTTCCTTAACAAGATATATCGTTGTGTTGAAGGCGCAAATTATATGCGTTGAAATCTGATCATATGTTGCTTTCGTTTATAATTGGCCTGTATGGTGATATAACTGGAGGATTTGCATTCCAGGTTGTCCATTCATGTTCGTATGCTTGATACTTGATGAATTTCGAAAATAATGAGAATGTATGGTTTTTTATTGCGGGAAAAGTAACAAAAATAATTACATAATATGAATCCAAAATATCTGAATCGGAAATTTCAGCATAATTAATTTCTTTTCGTTCTCTAAGACTATACCTTCTCGTATGTTCTTCCTAAAGAGGTCATAAAAAACAAGTTAGAAAGATGTTTCATACAATTGATCATTTATAGAAAAACTCGATTTTTGCCTAAATTTTGTTCATTATTAATCGCTTCTGTGTTATTTTCTTTTTGATTATTCTGATAAACTGTTGCGGTCGGTGTATTCTTTGGGTGGGAGAGCCAATGATCTGTCGCGTAGGTGTGTTCACCGACAGAGGGATGTTACCAAATTTAACTCAGATCGCTGCCCTTACTAATAGCGATTGTCTTTTACGACTGAATCAAATTTATAAGTGACTATATTTTTACTAACTCCCTAGACGAAGTATAACCTATACTCGTTTCTAAGTAAGGGGTACCTATGACAATACCGTTACAACTACAGAAAATCGAAGGGGAATATTTATATTTAATTTAAAACAGGGCGGTCTTCGATTTAGTGTTTTGACTAGTCGGGTATCTCGTCACTTCTAATTAATACTATAACTAATTAAACGATAAAATGGGAGAATCGATGTCGAATATTAATGTTACGGCCCATTCTGAGAATTAGCCCATTCTAAGAATGGGCCAGCCCGTTCTAGGATCCCCGAAATGGGCCAGCCCATTTCAAGATGGGACAATTACAAAAAAATTTTTATCACAGTAACACACATATAACATACAGGTCTTTAGTTTTTATAAACTATTTGTTTTTTATAACAAAATGCTT